GTGCATGAGCTGCAGCCTCCAACGTCTCGTATGAAGTTGTTCCGTTTAGTGCTGAGTCGATGCTTGGTTGAGGTATGTTGGGACGCGACCTACATGGAAAGGCACGTGCGAACAGGTGTTGAGTTGGTTATGATATGTGATCATCCGTATACATAGCATGGTGCCTCATAGTGCCTCGGGTATGCAAGTGTGTGGGTTGGACTCCTACCCTGATCAGAGGCACAGAGTGACAGACTAGACTAGACAGTCCCAGAATCTCAAGGGCGCAAAATGTTCAGGACTTGGGACTATGGCCAAGGAGAGGGAAGATTTAGCCGTACCGCTAAAATGGTTGAAGGTTTAGCCTGGTGCGCAAAGGGTTCAGATTGACGAACTTGAGATGTTTGCTGACATACGGAAATGGGTGATCAGGAACAGCTCGGCGCATGGCGGCGGAATGCCTTCAAGATCCGAAACCTCCGGCCACTCAGGGCCCCACCTGCAGCACTCGAATTCCGGAGGCTTTGGTGCGCGTTTGAGCTTGCGGCATTTCTCTTCAGCCATGGTGAGGAGGCGCATGGAAGAAGTTCCGGGGGCTTCGGGTTTGGACGTTTTGGACTGGGTTTCAGGGTGGTGCGTGTCAGGAACAGTGCCTGACGCATTTAGCTTGGGTTCGATAACACTGTAAGGGGCCCTGGCATATATTTGTAACAATCAACCTTGGTGTCGCCAGTAGTGCTGTGTTACCGTATGCTGGGCAGCATCATTATGCTTAGACCGTACATCGCCAATCCTTCATTACTATGGAACGGCTTCAGGATTTGCGAGCCGCATTGGTGTGGGAAGAATGCTTGCGTTTCTACAAGCCGGGAGGCCAACCTTTACATTCGGCCAACACACCTCGGCTGCTTGGCTGGCAAGTTCAGCTTACGCGGCAGAGGTGCTTTGTGCTTTGTGAAGCGGCGGCCTTTCGAGTCAGACTGGTGGACAAGCGGCCGTCGAATGGTTGTCCTTTGCACATTCAAGCAGGAAACGCCCAAACGCTGTCAAGTTACCTGGGCATATTGGCAACCATGCAGCCGGATCGGGATGTTGCGGTTTGTATCAGATCTGACGTATTGCATTGAAATTTTACCATATCCCAAGTCAAAATTGATCTCCGATCGCTGGGCTTGCGCGCCTATAGGCCGGCTCCTTTCAAGACTTGGCCGAGCAAGAGATGCATTCATTTGCTACTGTAGGGCGCTGTGTGGGGCCACAACAGTCTTCAGAGCAGATCCTGTCGGATTGCGGTTGTGCATGTTAGTCTGTCAGTGGCTGGTTCGACTGCCATTGTTGCATTATGATCAAAGCCGGCGCAAGCCGGAGCCCAAGCAATTGAGACATGTACAGGGATTTGGACCGGAGTGAGCTTTAAAAGCAGTAGTTCAACAGCACGTAACGTGAGCCCCTGATAAATCTAGATGCAGCTTCCGAAAAATCGGAACCCAATGCGTACCTCAAATGAGAGGATTCTGGAACCAAGACCCACAAGCAGGACCTCTGAGCTAGTGGCACTTTCAATGGCTAACTCCACAGGTATAACGGTATAAGTAAGGTCAATACCTTTTCCCGATCGAGGCTTGAGCATGATTGTGCTGTATCTCAGCCTTTGGGGAACCATGCTGGGAGTTGATCCTTGGATTCCACTTTGTCTACAGTTTTGAGGCTGTAAGTGGTTGCAAACCTTCCTTCAAGTCGTGGGCTCAGGCTGAGTAGAAGCTTATTCAGAATCTGGGTGTCAGCGCTGGTTACTCGATTGCCTCGTGGGTTAGTTACATGCGCATGCTCTGTGCTGTGCAACTGGAGCGAATTCATCAAAGCTTGGAATTCCGAAACCCACACATAAGCCACGAATCCGAACCTGGCAGCAAGCCCTCGTGACCCTAGTGTGGAAGGGTCCGATGTGCTTGAAAAACCGGAAAATCCTGTGCCGAAACCCGGAGCCGAACTCTGTAGCAGCTAACATGTTCCCGCCTAAACCCTAAACCATGCATTTGCATCCCAAGTCCTTTCTCTGCACGCCTCTTTGCATGAAAGCAAATCATTCGTTCATGTGAAGCCCGAGTTTGTGTCCGGGCATGGCATGCCCTCTTTGCGTAAACGTGCGTCGTGAGGAAACTGCAGGCAGGTCAAATGCGAATGTAAATGCATGAGCCAAGGGTTTCACGTGTCTACCACGCAGCCGAACTAGGTCGTCGATTTTGGTTGTTGGTTGTTTGCTGTTGTGGTAGACTGCTGTCAGATCGGACCTCATTGGAGTACTACCCCTAGCTTCTGAGACAAGTTTCGCTACAGACCTTGCCAGGCTTGCCCGAGTGTGAGTTTCAAAACAACACTGAAACCATCATCTCCTTCCCTACCCTCAGCTTCGAATCTCAAGAGACCGGTCCAAGGATCTTTTTGCACCTGGAGCCAACTCCTGGATTTGGTTCCTGCTCGTTCTTTGCCGCTTGTCGGGGTTGAGCTTGATCTTCGCGTTTAGTGCGGCAACATGCTTGGGGTCTAGGGTTGTGAGTTCAGGCTTTGGGGATGGCATAGGGGACGTTAATCCGTTGTAACCGCATGAAAAGGCTTCTGTCAGCTACAGCTATTTAAGATGCCAATCTTCCAACTGAAGGAGCGGATGCCTGTCGAATTAAAGCTAAATTAAGGACTTGCTACTTCCCCAGAGATCACAGGCCTTGACTTGCGAAGTAGGGCGAGCTCAGGCGTCCTTTGCATCATTGGATTTTATTTTGTGGTGGACACCTTCCGCCCCCTGTCTGCAGATTCTTCAGCGGAAACTTAGGCATCCTAAACCCTAAACTAAACCCTAAAGCCCTAAACTCCTAAAACCCTAAAACCCTAAACTCTAAACCCTGAAAGCTCGAGGCAGGCCTGGCCGTCATGCAACGGTACTTACGGGCATGGCTAGGGGCTTGAGCATGCCAGGTTGCTTTGCAAAGCTTTGGCACAGCAATCAATGTCTCTATGTCCTAGCAGAACGGGTGTTGAACATATCGCGCTTTAAGGCATTTGATGGGCAGTGGTTCCATTTCGTGAGAGTCGAACTTCCGGATTGGCACGCTCATATTGCACAAACAAAATCAAGACGGGTGAGGGGCCTTGCCACCACGCAAACCGGCGAAGGCCGCTGGAAGGCTTCGACGGCTCGTGAAGTTGGGGTTGCTTTGCTTGGCAGTTTGATAGCTCAGCTCAGTGGCACTACACTAACAGGAATTCAGTACAATATAATCTATTCTCGGCCCCTTAGCCCGAGACCTCGTGCCTTGAAGCCGCAGCTCCCCAGCCGGATCATCGTTTCGGCAACCTGGCCTGCTGTCAAAGGTAGCTACTTGGCATCTGTGCAGAATTTGCAGGAGAAGCTGAGCAGGCGGGAATGCTACAGCATCTGGGGCCCATAAGAGCCTAAAGCTTCTCATGTGTATTCTCCAGGGAGAGTCCAGAAAGAAAGTGCAAAGGGATGGCGGTTCTCGTGATGACGGTGATGATGATGATGATGATGACGATCCCGCTGATGGTGCTTGTGATGATCTAGCAAGGGTAACTATAACAAGAGCAGTTTCTTATGAAGCGAAAAAGCCGAGGCTGAGGCTGCGGATGGTGGTGATAATCTAAGTGCGAGGTTGACGGTGCTTTAAAAGCACCTTAATGACTACACGTTAGGTTTTGTGTGGTATACTACGACAACTTACCAACTGATTGCTCAGGCCCCTGATGCCGCTTCTGGCATGAGTGATTAGAGTTATAGCCTTCGCCACCACATCCTGCTCACGGCTCGGTTTTGGCTATGACAGGTAACACGACGGCATTGTTGATGATGACTGTCATGACGATGATTAAGTAGGGCGATGCTGATGCCGCTGTGGCCTCTGCTTGCTGTCCACCTCGCTATAGTGCTCTGAAAACCCTCTGAAAATATGATGCCTTGCTACAACGAAACGACGAAGTCAGCATGATGCACTGACTAATTTATGAGTGACACAGTCATACAGACGCGAGTAGTCGTAAGTAGCGGTGCTCTGCTCTTTCATTCTGGAGCCACCCTACTGTATACCTCAGACTTGCCGTATACAGACCCCAATGCCTGCTTTCGTCAGGTTCGCTTTTGCAGACACGAAGTGCCATTGCTGTCACCTGCCTGCAGCTGCGAGTGGGTGGTGGCACCAGCGGACAGAAACATTCCGGAAGCTATATCATAGTCTGTTATACAATATCTACACATACGTATTTAAATTTATATATATATATATGTATGTGTATATATATATATATGTACTTATATGCTATGTATTATTGCATTTGGTATTACATTGATCATGCTATAACATGATTTGCGGCGTAGGAGTTTCGAATTAGGCTTTGCCGGGCTTCGGTTTTCTTTACAATGCTTCGGGTGTTGGGGTTTCACCACACAGTGGGATTTCGCATCGGCCATGAGACTTGACAACAGTGTTGCTTCGTGACGCAAGTATTACAAGGATGCAAGTGCCAAGCGTGAAGACGGTTCAAAGGTTGCGTGAAAATCTGCATGAAGGAAGATCGATTAGATCCCTTACAGCTCAGCTTTCAGAACAAAAATTGAGATGTTTGGAAAAGGCACTGAGGGTTGTTTCTGTGCTTGTTTGCTACTGTAATCTGGGGAGGCAGATGTGCTGGGTGTCGTGCCACGCACCTATCAGGTCATGAGCCTGCTCAAGAGTTTCATATTATCGTAAGCCTGACAATCCTGATAGCGGCAACAACATTTGCAGCACCAGCAACAACAAGCACCCACAGACATACATACGTGCATACATGCATATGTGTGTACATATATGTTAAAAACCGATGTTGTCTTTAATTTGTCATGATGTCCTGTCTGGGATGATGCCCCTGGTTTGCACTTTTCCGCCAAGTGAAGGTAGATGTACCATCATGCAGTGTCCACACATGCGCTGTACATTGCTAAATGACTGACGGCTTGTGAATGAGATGAGGTTCAGTCAACCATCTCCGCCGTGATGGCACGAAGATCCTTTTTGAGAAGTTGGTCTTACCGACTTCTTTGTGAAGCAGGGTTTGGGATTCGGAGTTTAGGGTTATTTAGGGTTGTCATGATGGATGGTTTCAAGCTGCCACGAACGCTTAATTTACGCGTCCAGGTGGCAACATGAGGCTTGATGGTGAGGCACCCCTGTAGCCGTAAGGATGATTTGTGATCGGGAAATCCTGCAGAAGTGCATTCGCGGCTGGCCACCTGGCAAGCTAACGGATGTTTCACGTTCATGTGCAGCGATGCCAGACAATAGCTGCTGGTGGAGTATGAAAATTCGAGTTTCAGCGAATAGGGGAGCTGATTGTAGAACTCGGAGTAAAATAGGATCAACAGGATCCTTATACCATAAGGTCTCCTGAAGAAGGTACCCCTAGGTTTAAGAAGCCTCCACATGTGATTGCCAGCTGCTCTGAGGTTCGGATCTATCGACAATTTCGACAAGTCGGTTCAGTCGTCGGTATCTGCAGCCTTTCGGAAACAGCTTGGCAGGAATACGCTGCCATACCTATGGACACCCGGCTACCTCTAGAGTGTATAGCCGGTAGACGAATTTTGTCAAAGCCCGCACTTCTTTGGCATGATCCGTACCGTGCAATATGCAGCGGTTTGGGCTCACGCTTGCGATTGATTCCGTTTGAGCTAAACCCGTTTCCACCACTGAGACAGAACTAATCCACACCTGCTGCGTGAAACCGCGGCCAAAGCCGCAATCAGCCTTAGGGAGTAGGGATTACTATAAATTTAATGTAGGGTTTAGGGAACACGCCCCTTGGCAAGGCAAAGTACTCGCATGCCAAGAGATTCGGCAGGAGACTCCATCCGTTTTGAGCACGGGGTTTCGAAAATCATGGTCGTAGCCGACAGCACTCACGACCAATACTGTCACCGGTGTTGTTGCTGCCATTAGAGAAGCATATGTCATGTATTCAGTAGATCATACTATAAAAACACAATACAAGATAATGGAATGAGAGAGTATCCTTTAATATTTCGGAACCCAGTCTTCGCTTGTCGCGTTGCTAGTTGAAGTCAGACCCTCGACCTGAGGGGCCAGACGGCTAGGCAGTCGGACCGTTGCTAGTCTAGGGTTTAGGGTTTCATAATACACTGTATACGACCATATAAAAGATAAGGATACTAATATGATAATTAGTATGTATATATATATACATGTATGTATGTATGTATATATATATATATAGATGTGTATATTTGTATAGCCTGTAATATATAGCACATAATTTTAGAGTCATCTCATCCTTCATGCTGCGATTTCGGCTTCGTGGGATCCCAGGATGCTCGGCGTTGGGTCCCCGATTCTCTGGGCTTTGCTGAGCATCGTCGTCCAAGAGCTGCTTATTGGAGAGCTTGGGATGCAAGGATTACTAGTTACAGGCAGGTTCAGATTGGGGTGCTCGAGTTTCGGGCTGTAGGTCTAGAATTTAGGGTTTAGCCAGGCGATTGCACAAGTCCTGCAAAGGTTTACAGAGAGATCAGGGGTTGTGAGCAAAAAGATGCTTTGGATACCCAAATTTGGCCCAGTTTTGAACTCCAAGATATGATTGTGGAGAAGTTTGCGCCAAAAGTTTTGAACTGCACAGAGTTGCCCCGCACACTTTGCCTCTACTATTCCAAGGATCCGGAATTTCTCCCATGCTTGAATCTGCAAGAAAAGACCCTGCGGAAAAATGCCTCTGAGATGCAGTCCACACATGATCGAAACAGTGGCCCAAACTTCCCTCCCCCAGACCCTCCCAAACACCACTTGCCCGGGCCTTCTTCTCAAACCATTGCCTCCCTCCCCGAACCATGCTCCCAAACCAGGATGGGCAAGGAGTGGCTGTGCGGGTTCAATTTCGGATGAGCCCCGTCAAACGTTGAGGCAAATTGTGGGTGCGGGGTCAAAAGTTGGGCAATTTGTGGGGCGCCTGCGGTTCAAACACTTTGCAAGCTCCTCAGAGAGTTTGCAGAACAAGTTGAACCACAGGCCCCCCCCCCCCCCCCCCAACAAATTTGACCCGTGCAGCCCACCATTGACCTACATTTGACCCTGCAACTAGACCTCGACCCACGTTTGACCCTGCTTGCCCCTGGCCTCCTTGCCTGTTGTGTGGTGGGTGTGGTGTTTCTCTGTGGTGTGATGCCTTCCATGGTGTCGTGGTGCAGAACTCTTGTCCCTTTCTGCGTAATGTCCGCCTGCTGGATCAAATTGAGTGGTCCATGTACATTCTGTCGCTTCAAATTCTGCGCTGAAGATTTGTGTCGGGTCAGATTCCGCAGTCCAAATTTGTCTGCTCAAGTTTCTGCGGTCCAAATCTGGCATCTGCGAGCCCATTCTGGCCTCCCAGCCATTAGGCCATACAACTGTCTAACCTTTGTTGATAGTTTAGGCCAAATATGGTTGAGGGATAGTCTATAGTCTAACCCGCCAGGGCAAGTCAATTAATGCGGTCATGCAAGGATTTTAATGGCTTAGCGCAGAAAAACTTGATTATGCAGTCATTGCACCATGTTAGGCTTGTACCTCAGGCAATAGCTACACCGTAACATGCCATTGGTGGTGGCAGGTATGTTGCTAACCATACCTTTGGTTGTTGCCGTCGCCCTCATCATAGGAAGCCATGAGAATACGCCCGGATACGAGAATGTGTGCTGCGTGACCCTGATAAATTGGAACCGCAGAAAGGCCATAGCGAAGTTCAGACTCGATCCGCTTCCCTGCCGGTTGGAACAGGTTTAGTTTCGCATCTGATGCTGGCATGCTGACGCCAGGATCTGCTTGGAAGAATGCAATGACTCCGCCCCATGTACACGTGTGCGCGCAAGTGCGGGTGTGTGTGTGTGTGT